TCTCCAGCCAGTATAGCTGGCTGGAGAATTCTGGGAGTTGAAGTCCACAAGTCTTAAAGTTGCCAAGTTTGAAGAGATGCCCGAGCTTCGCTTTCGAGCGCTCACCCGCACTTCCCCAAGCGCGGAGGAGCGCCCTGAGCACAACTTCCGCGAGAAGTATGGGCGTGAGAGGAGAGTGGGGAGGCTGAGGCCGCTCCGACCATGCAATGGCAGTCGTGGGTGTTGGCGCTGCTGGTCCTGAGACTTTCAGCCCTCTCTAAGCGGTTTACAGAGTCACCATATTGCCCCCAACAACAATCGGGTCCTCATTTTACCCACCTCGGAAGGATGGAAGGCTGAGTCAACCCTGAGCCGGTGAGGTTTGAACTGCAGAACTGCAGTCAGCTGAAGTAGCCTACAGTGCTGCACTTAAACACTGCGCCACCTTTATTTGTTTCAGCAAGCATGTATTGGATAACATATATAAGCATAAATATGATTTTGAATACATGAAATGGATACGAATAAAAAGGAACATTAGGACAGGGACGGTAGGCACGTTGGTGCGCTTATGCACGCCCCTTCTCTTATGGTGTGAGATCGACAGTAGACAGTAATGTGTAGTAATAGTCTGATGTGCGACCTAGAGATACTATTTTCTCCAAACGTGTCCTTCAGCCTGATACTAGTAGTTCTTTTCGATTACTATAACTATTTTAGAGGGATGATGGGAGCTGTACTTTTAACACACTGAAAGGCGTCAGATTGCGAAGGCTATGGAAACCGATTCATGACCCGGACAATAGGGCGGGGTGTAAACAAAACACGCCTCCGCGGGCGCTGAAGAAGCTGCTGCTGCTGCTTCCACCGTCTGTCGAACTTAAGGTAGTCTAGGCGGAATAAGTGATATTTTCGGTTCTGGGAGATTGTGCCGTTTTCCCGTTTCTCAAGGGCGCAGGAAAGCCGGTGGGTGAATAACGGAGAAAAGAGCGCTGCGGAGCGCCAAGCAGGCAGAGAATCTGCGCGCGCGTCGGTTCTGTTTCCTTGGCAACCGAGAAAGCAGAAGTGCTGAGAAAGGCGGGGAAATTCCCCGCCTCCCCGCAGAGGCAAATGAGCTTCGCTCTTAATGAGGTTGTCTATTCAAACTGACATAGGTTTTGCTCAGAAGTCAGCCTCACTCGATAACTGGGGCTTACTCCTGAGTAAAGTGTGTGGAAAGTTGTGGAGCCTGCATCAATTTTTAAGGCGCCTCAGAGTAAGAGAATTGCTTAGTATTTATCAGTTTGCTAGAACTGCCACTCATCTCGAATTCATATCTGCAGTTCTGCATGAATGGGCGGATTGGATCCTCACTTCGAGGGAAAATAGATCCTCACTTCGAGGGAAAATAGATCCACTTTCTAGAGATATTCTGAGTCTGCTTGGGAAGGAATCAGGAACAATTTAAATAACCAGTCAAAGGTCTTGTTATGATCTGTTATAGTATAATATGTTTGCCACCTGTAGCTTTTCTTCTGTCATGGGACTTGCGTGCAGATCCTAAACTGTCTTCCATTTGGATCCAGCCACTAACCAGGGATCTGTTAAGTAGGGCAGATAGCTGCCTTTTCCAATCTGGTGCTGTCAGATTAATTAGAATGTAGTTTCCATTTCCCCAGAAGAGAAGATGATGTAAGAACATCTCTAGGATACAAGATTGGGAAAGGCTGCCTTAGAATAAGCCATAGGCTACAAACAGGGTGATTTTCATGTATAACACACTTTCATCCTCTTAAGTCCAAGAATTCTGTTATTTCATGCATGCACATTTCATAATAATTCATCTGAAATGATTATAATTGCCCTTGTTTTGAGACTGCTTCACTTAAAAGGATAGGGATACTGCTCTTTCAGTTGTGAGTATCTGACCAAGAAAAATAGATACTATTAAAAATTTTAAAAGAAAAAAAAAATTACAATGGAAAATTAAAGGTTACAATTTGAAGTAAAGTTTGGTGTTTAAATATTAAGTACTATATTCTTTTTATTTTTGATGTTTCTCGAAAATTCAGAATCATGGATAATTATGTAATAATTAAAATGATTGGAGAAGGAGCATTTGGCAAAATATTCTTAGCCAGAAAAAAAGAGGATAATCAACAATGTGTTATCAAGGAGATCAATTTAACTAAGGTAATATCTATTATAATATTTTTATGTAGCATATTAATGTTTGGTCCAAGTTGAAGATGGCAATTGGATAGAAAGATCTCTCTAATGGCAGCAACAGACCATTAGCAATATTTTTAGACAGCTTAGAATTTGTTTAAATATTTGACATAGATTAAAGTTAAGTTCTGAAGAAGCATTTTTAATGTATGCGGGACTTTTTGTGAGTGTTTGTGATAATGAATTCAGTTTGTTATTTAGTCCAAATGCTATTGCTGTTTTTAAAGGTTCCATGACAATTTAAAGTTCTAAAAATATTATATGTAGCCCTTTAAGGAAGTAGTCTGTTTCTTAAAGGATGTTGAAAGAAAGTGATGAAATGTGTTAAAGTAACTTTTAGCAATTTTTAATTGTGAAACAATGTTAATATAACAAAAAAAAATCAGTTCACATTAATTCCCAAGCAACAAGAACTTTTATTGGAAATATAAGATTTGTTCAGAGGTCATCAATTTAGGGGAAATTGCACTAAGCAGGGTTCAGAATCCTTTAACTATCTTTGTGGTATTCCTATAAAGTCACATAAATAATAACAACTTGTGTTGCATTCTTTTTAAATAAAGATGCCAAGGAAGGAAAAAGAATCATCTCAAAAAGAAGCAACTCTTCTAGCCAAGATGAAGCATCCCAATATTGTAGCTTTCTATGCTTCCCTTCAAGGTATTATTTTGATCTGTAGTTATAGATAGTCCTCTACTTACAATAGTTCATTTAGTGACCATTCTAAGTTACAAGGGCATTAAAAATGTCTTATGACCGTTTTCCCATGATCATGTGATCAAAATTCAAACTCTTAGCAACTCTCATATTTATGACAGTTGCAATTTATGATGGGTCATCTTTTGTGACCTTCTGACAAGCAAAGTCATTGAGGAAGCCAGATTCATTTAACAACCACGTTCCTAACTTAACAACTGCTACAAATGTGACAAAAAAGGTTGTAAAAGGGGGCAAAATTCACCTAACAAATGTCTCACTTAGCAACATAAATTTTGGGCTCAATTGTAGCCATAAGTCAAGGACTACCTGTACTTTGGCTAACTCTTAAAATAGAACAATAAGAACCTCCTTCTAAAATTTCCTCTTTTGAAAGGCACACAAGTACTTTCTGCCAAAAACTTACGTATATACTCGAGTATAAGCCGAGTTTTTCAGTCCACTTTTTGGGCTGAAAAAAGCCGCCTCGGCTTATACTCGAGTATATACGGTATAAAAAACAGATTTTGAAGATTGTTTCTTTGATCTCTAATACCATCTTACTTTATGTTTCATGTATGTATGTATGTATGTATGTATGTATGTATGTATGTATGTATGTATGTATG